TATCTTTTCTTGGCCAGAGGAAAGGAATTACAATTTTGTCTCTCTCTCTCTCTCTCTTTTTCAAGGAGTTGTGACTTTTTAATACAAGTTGGTTCTTGCACAGGCATTTTATTTCTCAATTAATTTCCATCAAAATGAGGTTTTCCCGGAGATAACCAGTGTTTTAGTTCCATTTGAGCTTAATTTGTATAACTGAAGACTCCATTTCTGCCAATTCCAATTTGCTGGGTGATTCTAGCACTCATTACCTGGGGGACAATGCCCCTGATGCAGACAGCCCCACCCAGAGCTGGTTGATGGACCGATTTCCAATAGCAATTCAGGGGAAGAGGTGGTCCTTCTCCTCTCCCAATACCACTCAATAAATAGGGAATAAATTATTAAATAAGCCATGATCTGATGAGGGGCCCCCATCATGATATTTACAATGCAGAACAACCCCCCCAAACCCTCAATAAATATAAAAAACTAAACAACAGCCACAGACAGAGGGGAGAGGCTAAGTCTGTCAGTATCACTGGCTCATGGGTACAGAAATGACACGGAAGAGGTTGCAGGAGAGCATTGCTTGATGACACTGTATCTAGAAATTCCTCAGCTGGCTGCAGCTGGCTGATGAAGGAGGGAACGCTTTGAGGGAATCCTGGTTTGTTTTTTAATCAAACTTTTCTGTTTAGCTGGAGAGCAAAGCAAGGCAAGACAGATGCTTGTGAGACGATTCTGAATATTCATAGAAAAGAATACAGCAGAAGACATGACGGGAGTGAGACTTTAAAAAGCAAAAACGCTTTGGAACTTTTAGGAGTACCCAAACGTTGGCTCCCTTCAAGGAAAGCCTTTGGGAAAGAGGATGGTTCTGAGCTAAGGAAATGATGGGGGCTCTCTGAGACTGACACCCTTGTGTCTTTCAAACATCTTAATTTTGTTTTGCTTCTGAAAGACTGGCTTTCCTTCACAAAGAAGGGAAGAAACAGAGATAGGAATGCGGTCAGACCTCGAGGGGGTCTTTGAGTGAGTTAGCTTTTCTTAATTTAATTGAAGGGAATTCACATGCTGCTTTACGTTTTATTCTAATGACTGAGAACCTCCTGAAAATATTTGAGAGTGCTCTCCTTTTTGCTTCTAAGTTCTGGCGAACTCCGTCTTTAGACAATTTGCCAGGCCTCCGGTCAACATCCTGGATTGTATCTCAAATACCCCCCTACTTCTTAGAGGGGGAATCTTTGGCCCAGAGGAACGAAGAGATCTATCCAGGTTCATTCATCCAGAAAGGCTGCAGGTGAGCTATATGTTTCTGGGCTTCAAGTCACATCCCCCAATGCTGGCTTTTAAAATAAGAGCTCACCACCAGCAGATTTCAGTGCATTTATCTCATTCCCTGGAAGCAGAAGGTAATGTGGGCAAAGTAGGCAGAGAAACACAAATGCAGGGGGCTGGGGGCTCAGGTTAAGCAAGGTCACCAGTGCCCCAAGAAGCTGTTTACTTTTGGATGCAAAAGAAAGGAAATGTAAAGGCAATTAAAGAAGCACAGTGAGCAAGAGGGAGGGACAGAGGTTTTCCCCCAGGAGGCATTTAAGCAGCCTTCTTGCAAGCCTTCCCCAGGCTGGAGGTACCTCTCGCTTGGGTTGGAGCAGGATAAAGTCACATTGCCAGGGAAACTACCAGGGATGTTGCAAAAGTCTCACCAAATTCAAAGCCAGACCAGAGGAGCTGCCAATTTCAAAGCAGTGAATGGTGACTTTGGAAAGGGGCGGGGGGGGGGGAGGGTGAGGGGGAGGGTCGCTGGCAAGCAGCAGGAAGACACTGCCAGTTGCCAGTTAGTCAGAAGGGCAGGGCTGCTAAAGAAAAGCCTCTAGATCCTGGCTTGACGTGCCCCTCAATGACCTTCTTGGGGGAACTTTCCGCTGTTCCTTTCATCTTGTTTTTTTTTTTTTTTTCGTTCCCTAATTTCTGAAATAGCTTTGTGCTCTTCCCTGATGGAAAGCAAGAGATCACAGCAAAAAGCTTCTGCTTTGGGGCTGTGTACCTCTCCTAGGCATCACTCCAGGAAGTGGTGTGTGGCCTGAAGAAGGGAGAGAGCAGCCTGGATGGGGAGAAATCAGCTACAAAGGAAGCAGAAGAATGTGGAATTCGCATGTGACTGACGAGGATGCTCAGGGAAGCTTCCGGAGTGATCCTGCACACTGCTGTATGCCCTGGAGTAAGGGTGAGACCCCATGTGCATCTTCTCTCCCCTCACTCAGCCCAGTTCTTGCCCTGTCGTCTCCTGGGCCACTCAAAGTTCAATCCCAGTGCAAAACCAGACGCCAGTGCAGCCACCATGGCCCCCCAAATGCAAGGCGGCTACTTCAGGATGATGTAATGACGAAGAAGCCTCCTCGGTGGGCCAAGATACAGTGCATCTGTCTCCCAGCGGGTGCCTGCCTAAAGCGCTCACACCCGCGATTTCGACTCTGCACGTTTTGCCTTAGCTAGCTTATGCTAACTTTAGACTCCAACCCCCACGTGAGCTGTGACTCCACTGTATCATTTCAGGGCTTTAGCTCACAAGCCTCCTGGCTGTCTTCATCTTCCTGATACCTCAGTGAGGCAGCTGGTGGGCAGGGAGCTGGGGAGCAAGCCTGAACCTCAATGACACAACGAACCTTAGGTCTGAGGTGCCCCCCCCCCCAGGCCAATTCCAGGGTGCCTGGACTTAGAGCTCTGCGGGTCTCACCTGCAAAGCCCACATCCCCAGCCACATCCAGCCTCTCAGATCTCATCCTTGAAGACACAAGGGAAAAAAGAGAGATGCACAATAATAATTTAGAAGCCCCCCAACACACACACACACACACACACCTCCATATAAATAAATAAATAAATAGTTGAATACTGCTAATGGCAACCAAAGGAGAGAGAGAGAGAGATCATCACATAAATAAATAAATAAACATAAATAAATAAATAACAGGCTTGCTAGGAGCCCCAGGCAAAATGGTCCCCTAGAGTTGTCTGAAGGCAGTCTGATGGGAGGCTCCCAGGCCTCTCGCACTGCTGTCCTGCTAAGGAGGGTCCGTGGCTCTAGACGTTCCGCGGCTCGGAGAAGACTTTGTCTCCGGGATGGGAGACTGGAGCCCAGGCTGGGCTCCCAGGCAGGGAAGAGGGTTATTTACAGTTGCTGTACATGCCCTCCCAGGGCACCTGCCATCCGGCCTTCTGTGGTGACAGCATTGGCATCTGTCAGTCTTGGCGGGCGGGGCCCAGGGCTGGGCCAGAGGGCGTCGTGGGAAGGCCAGGTCGCCCCGTGCTGTCTGGGCCACCTCTCGCTGCTCTCTGGGTGGAGGAAAGACTTGCGGGAGTATGCAGGGCAGTGTCTGGCCCCATGGGCTGATGTAGTAATGGGAGAGACGGTGGGGGTAGGGGTGGGGGTGGGGGGAAGACGGGTCACTGCTTTCAAGAGCGGGGATTTTTTTCCAAATGTTTTCCCTGGGGTGTGAAGGATGAAGAGTGTATGGTCCCTGCTTCCCCACAGCTCGCTCCCCAGTATCCAGAGCTAGGGGACTGTCCTCCTCACTGTCTCCCTCCATGCCCTGCTGCTGTTGCCATTGCAAACTTGACATTCACCCACAAGGCTCCGGAAAGCCTGTCAGCTGGTGAGGGGGGTGCCCAGGAGTTTATTTTAAGGATCTTCTCCCTCACACCCCTGTTCTTAGTGCCTTCTGTGGGCGAAGCAGCTGGTGGTGTTTGCGTGTCAGAGATCAGCTTACCCATGCTGCCCAGCCCTGGGTAGGGGAAAGGCAGGGTGAGGGCATGAATAACGGTGGGGCTTGGGCTGACAGGAGGCCTCGGAAGCTATGGAGAACCCAAGCCCCCGTCCCCCCAGACTCTCTGGATTTGGGTCTTTCCGCCCAAACCTGAGCTACTATGCCCCCCCATCCCAGCAAAACTCCTGAGAGGCAAAGGGCGTGGCTTAGGCTGAGGGTGGGTGAGTGGATGGCTCAGCCGCATTGGGTGGGATCCGGGGTGTGGCAGTCTGGGCGGTGGGGAGGGGGCAGGCGGGCTCCAGCTGGAGTCTAAGGCCAGACTGGCTGGCGCTGGGGACTGGCGGCCGGCCACGGCACTGGGCGACGCTCAGCAGATGGTCCTGTGGAATTAAGTTGGTGCTAGCCAGTGGGGGCTGAGGCAGATTTGGGATGTGGGGCTGCAGAGCAAGCTGTCCTGACTGTCCACTGTGTCTTTTCTCAGTGAGGTTCGGGGGCTAAAGGCTGCCTAAGCCACGTGCTAGTCTCTCCGTTGCTAGAATCGACTGGACTCCTTTTCCTGACCGTGCCAAGACACTGGGAGCAGCCGAATGACACTTGCCCGTTGCTTCTACAGGCACAAGCAGAGAACCCATGTCCTGTCTCCTGACACTTCCTATCAACGGAAACATCCAGGTCCCCTACTCAGGTCCCCTTCGATCCCCCTCAAATAGCCTTCGAGCCTTTGCTTGGGCCTGTATGGGGAGGTGAAAGGCTGGACACCCTCTCCTGGGCCTCACTGCTCTTGGTTTCCACTCATCCCCTCCCACCCCGAGAGGGTCCACACACGTGTAGCCATGACCGGAGGGGAGACTGAGGGCAGGTGTGATGACTGACTACTTGCCTTGCAGACACATCCTGCGAGCAGTGGGTTAGCAAAACTGTTTTTCCTGGCCAGGCCCAAACTTTTGGGTCCTGAACCCATTGCTTCTTACACAACCTGGAGGGTTTTTGTGCCAACAGTGGATGGTTCTCTCCATATGCCCAGGCCTGAGTTGAGCCCCTGGGTGGTGCTGGTGGGGGCTCCTAGCAGCTTCACACAGAGGCCGAAGCCCCCCGGTACCTTCGTCTCCTCCTCCCAGGAGAGCGGGAAGGACAGGGTCCAGGAGCCCTCAATGTCTGTCACCAAGGAGAAGGCAGGGAGGGCAGGGAGCGGGGGAGGCCGGCAGAGGGAAAGGGGCCCTCCCCCAGGCAGCTGGCTCAAGGGCGGACCCTTGTTCAGCGCCTCGTGCTGGAGTAGCTGCCTGCTGAGCTGTAGCTCTGGCTCCGGCTCCGGGAGCCCGGGCTGGGGCTGCGGGAGCCTGAGCTGCTGCTAGTGCGGGTCCTGCTGCGGCTGCGGCTGCGGCTGTGGCTCCGGCTGCGGCTGCGACTGCGACTCCGGGTCCGGCTGCGGCTGCGGCTGCGGCTGCGACTGCGGCTGCGGCTCCGGGAATAGCTGCGGCTGGCGGAGCGGCCGCTGCTGCTGCTGTACCAGGAGGAGGTGCTGCTGAGGCTGCTGGACGAAGAGGGGCTGGGCCGGTAGTAGGGGATGGGGCGCTTCCGGGCACTGCGGAGACCAGAAGGAGCTCGCTTGAGGGCCAGACCCCGCCCAGCCTCGACCCTGACCGCGCCTGCCCGGTCCCCGGGGGAGAGCGGGGTAGCCTAACACTTCCCAGGCCCTTAAGGGGAAAAACACTCTTTTTAGGCTCCTCTCGCCGTCCTGAGACTGTCCGGGGTAAGGTCTCAGCCCTAGCGCTGGTGTCTGGAGGAGTGATAACCTCACTTTTTAACAAAGCAAGCCTGGGGCTCAGATCCTCCAGCTGGCGACGGAATCTACGTCTAGACTTTAATTGCAGTTTTGTTTTGCTATTTTTACTTTGACTAGAACCTTCTATTTATGCTAAGAGAGGCTGATTTTCCATTTACTATAGTATACTGTGGTGTATTGCTTTTGAATTAGACCTGTCTGGACCTCTAAGCAAGGGCCTATCTATTTAAAAAAATTTTAAGGAAACAATAGTACACTTCCTTTTTTTAAATATATATTTTTTTAATGTTTTATTTATTTCTAGGAGAGAGAGAGAGAGAGAGAGAGAGAGAGAGCGTGAGCAGGGGAGGGTCAGAGAGAGAGGGAGTCACAGACGCTGAAACAGGCTCCAGGCTCTGAGCTGGCAGTCAGCACAGAGCCCGACGCGGGGCTTGAACCCACAAACCGCGGGATCATGACCAAAGCGAAAGTCGGACGCTTAACCGACTAAGCCACCCAGGCGCCCCCAATAGTACACTTCCTAAACAGACAAATCGAAAGATGCTGCTGGGTGACTGAAGTTTGGGAAACACTGAATGGGTTCATCAAGATGGACTATTTGAGTTGACTAAGGAAACAAGAGAGCCTGTTAGGAATGACATTTTGTCTTCCTCCAAGTCAACCTCGAGGCCGCCTTTGGTCAAGGCAGTGGGTCCAGTACTCCCTGTGTGCCAGGGTGATCTGTGGGGTATCTGAGAAGGTGATGCCATCACCCCCATCTAATTGTTTGGGGCGCAAGTTCTTTTTCCTCCTCCAGGTCATCCCTAGGGAGGAGGAACCAGGCAGAGGAGTCTGCCCCGAAGCCCCACTCCTGCCGGTCTCTGGAAGGAGTAGCTGGCCCTTGGAGGAAGAGCACAAGCCATCGCCAGGAGCCAATTTTAGGGCAGCACTCAGCCATTCTTCCAGCTTTCAAGGCCTGAGAAATTTGGGTCCTCTCAGACCTCAGGCTTCTCTTCTATGGCTTTTCTCTGCGAAGAGCTTACCAGTTAGACAAACCTTATCCACCCAGTCTTGACCATGCAATCCATGACAATGGCACACCTCAGGTTCTAGTGTTCTGCATTTCAGTTTACAAAGTGTGTTCACACCTCTGTGTCCCCTTTCATTTCATTTTCATGATACTCCCGGGAATTAGTATTTCAGGGGTGAGAACGTTTGGAAAGTGAAGAGACTTTCCCAGCTCATCTGGAAAGTGGCACAGCCAAGAAGGCACTCCACATTCATGCTCTCCCCCTCTAAGTCCCTTTGGTTACCCAGACGACCCTTTTGCCCTCTCCCCAGTTGGTGCAGGGTATGATCAGGGTCTACTAAAGCCTGGCAAGTAGGTCTCAGGGTGATCGGTCTCCACCGGCTGACTCCACCCCCAGGCAGAGGCCCCGCCGCACTGCTTCGGCCCGCATTGGCCGCTACGTCCCCGCGCTACTCCCCCTGGCTCCGCCGACCCTGGCCACACCCCCTCTGCCCGCCGGATTCCGCAGGCTGGCCCCGCCGCTGTCCCAGGCACCCACCCTGGCCCCTCCTTTAGGGTCCCGCAAAGTGTGTCTGAGCTCCCACAATCCTGAATTCCAGCTCCAAGCGGATACGGGGAGAGGCCCAACGGTAGGAGGGGTGGGACTGAGGGTGAAGGTGGGCACCCCGGCGCTCCTGGCCTCACCTGGTTATCCTCCGCGCCTCCAGGTGGCTCGGGGAGTCTCTCCGGCGCTTCCGCATGGGCGAGTAGGACCGCCTTCTCCGGCGCGCTCGCTCGCGCTCGCGCTGCTGCGAGTCCTTCTCGTTGTACTTGGGGTCCCGCTCCCTGAAGGGGTGCGGGGGTTATTGGGACTGGCTTTCCCGCGTGGACGCGTGGGACAAGGGCACTCACTGCCTCCCACCTGTGCCCTTCACCCCACTGGGGGAGCTGGCGGTTTCCTCCCCGGGCCCCAGGGGGCTGTGGGTGTGTACTGTGGGGGTAAGGTTGGGCGTGCGCAGGGGTGTCAGCCTTCGAGGGTGGGCATTATAGGGGCGCCGCTGCTGTGGGGGTGAGGACGTGAACGTCAAGAGGGCTGCGGTGCAGGCGTAAGAGCTGGGAGCCCTGAATACGGGGAAGGGTAGGATGAGGTGTGTGAAGAGGCTGGGGTGTGGCTGGCGGTACATCATAGCGGGGACGTTAGGGCCCCCAAACATCCCCTCCAGCGAAGACGAAAGAAACTCCGAGGCTGCTGGGTCGTCTTCCCATCCCTACCGGTGCAACGCCAGACTAAGGGGGACCAGGGGCAAGGTTGGGCGACGCTCCCGGGAGGTGAGCGGGGGGGGCGGGCCCTGCGCCTGGGGGCGGGGCCTGTACCTGTGGGCGGGCCCTGCGCCTGAAGGCGGGCCTGTACCTGTGGGCGGGGCCTGCACCTGAGGGCGGGCCCTGCGCCTGAAGGCGGGCCTGTACCTGTGGGCGGGGCCTGCACCTGAGGGCGGGCCCTGTGCCTGGGGGCGGGCCCTACTCCTGGAGGCGGGGCCTGTACCTGTGGGCGGGGCCTGTGCTTGGGGCGGGGCCTGTGCTTGGGGGCGGGGCATGTACCTGCTCGGGCTGTACCGCGAGTAGCTGGGGCTGCGGCGCGATCGAGAGCTTCTGCTGGGGGGGCTCCTCTTGCCAGACTTGGAGGAATAGCTGGAAGAGCGCGAGTAGGACCTGCGGGAGAGTAAACAGTTCCCGAGGGGCCTGCTGGGCTTCCCCGGGGCTGTCCCGGAAGTGCAGGCGTTTATTCAGCTGGTCCTCAGGGGGTGACCGTTTTCTTTCCGGACGCCAGGCCTCGGAACCTGGCCCTTTCCAGAGAATGAAGTTCCCTCGCATTTGGGCAATCAGTCACAATATTGACCACTTCCTCTGATTGGATGCTTACTATCTAAGGCTACTTAATAGCTGTGTGACCTTGGGCAGGTGATTTCACTTCTCCGGGCCTCTGTTTTCTCATTTATAAAATGGGGGGTAAATAATCCTACTTAACCCTGTAGAGTTGTAAGTGAAATGAGTAAATTAGAGTAAATCACATACTGCACAGAGCCAGCACACAGAAAGTGTTAGCATGTGTCAGGCACTGAACTAATGCTCTTTGCGCATTCTCTCAATCCTCAACATATCCTAGGGTTAGGATATGCCTCGGGAAACCGAGGCATGAGAGGTTAACGTTTTCATTTTGCGGATGAGGAAACTGAGCGTTGGAGAGGTTATCTGAGGCCAAGGCCACCAGCTAGGAATGGGAACATTGGGCATTCAAAGTCAGATCCGTCTGACTCCTTTCACTGGTGGGTCAAAGGATATACCCCATTACCTTAACTAGCTCCCTAAGCACGAAACGCGTTGCAGAACAGAGGTCAAAACTGCGCTCACCTTTTTCCAGAGGAGGTGGATCGGCTTCGGGTGTACCTGGGGGAGGCCCTGGGGTTTGGGGATCGGGAAGAGTGGCTGGAAGAGCGGGTGCTGGCATAGGAGGGGCTGCGGGAGCACCCTTTCATGGGGGAGCTCCGGGCTGTGGATGGGACCAAACCAGACTTCTTCACCTCTGCGCATTCCAGACATGGCGACTGAAGTCCTCTGCAGATGTGGGAAGAACACCTGTTAGCACGGGCCTGACCTCTCGTCTGGAGGCATCTCGAGGTAACGCTCCTCTCCCTACCTTTGCCCTGGCTGGGGCGCCCTCAGAAACCCCTTTCCACCTATTTCCATCTTACTACCTCTGGAAAGACTTTCCAGGCCACAGATGGTAGAGGAATAGGGATAGAGGGGGATGCATTCCACAGGGGGCACTTCAGAGTATTTTAAGTCAGTGGGCATGGGCAAATTGGTAAATGACATCAATTCACATAGGGAGAGATTTATTCCCTTTTGAATCTCTTTCAGCCTATTTGATTACATTAATGAGAGACCCCGGGTTGGGTACTAGTGGGCTTTCCACCATCTCTGAAACACTGGCAGTCTCCCAGGCCTGGTGCTCAAGAGCCTTGGGCAGGCAACTGTTACTAACAAGAATTAAATCCACTGTATTTATGTATTTTCATATAAAAAGCATGTATTTTTTCAGATGCTTTCTATTTAGGATGAGTGCTATAGATTTTCTATGTAAGACAGTAGTATAAGTTTCCTTACATAAAAAAGAGTTTATTAAGGTAAATAAGAGTCCCAGTAGTACAGGGATATGATTAAAATTAAGCAGGTGCCATGTAGGTGATTTAAGTTTGGGAAACTTGGGTGTAGCCCATTTGGCAGATGGGGGAATTGAGACCCAAAGAAGAATGATGGATTGTTCAAAATCACCCAGTGGCAGGGTCCTGTCTTCTGTATTTCCACCCTGTCTAGAGCCATGTAAAGCTCCTGTTGGATTCTCAGTAAGGGCATGTTCATTTGGCTTGGGCCAAGAGTCAAGTTCAAATCACATTAATAGAGTTTCCAGGCTTGTCCAGCCCCTGCTCACACATCCAATCTCAGTTCTTGGCATTTTCCTCACTTGACTCCAGCCATAATGGACTACTTGTTCTTCCTGGACTATCCCTGGTTCCTTCCCTGTCTCCAGGCCTCAGAACATTCACACTGCCTGGAACCTTCCTTCTTCCCCTCCTCACCTGACAACAATAACTACTCATGGTTCAGGTTTTAGTTTGACCTCACATTTTCTGGGAAGCCTCTCTTGACATCCCCCTAAGTCTAGTTGGGTGACCTCCAATGTGTTCCCACAGCCCCCAGCCCCTAGGCTTCCCTGCTCCCACCCCCCCGCCCCCATCCCTAGAAGACCTCACTTGGTCTTAAAATGGTCTCTTCCTCCCCTAGTCACTGAGCTTGAGGGAGAGGACTCATGTCTCTGGATACTGTATCCCAGCACCTTGGACAGAGCCTGATTCATCTGTCCTAGGTCATGAATAAATAGTTGTGAAGTAAACATTTGAGCCTCTTAGTGTCCTGGGTGCTAAACAAGCGTCATCTTTTATGATCCTCCCAACAACTGGCACTGTTCTCTTCAGAAGGGCTAATTACTTCCTCACTCAGAGTCTCAAACCCTCATCTATCCAGCTCCACAGCCCATGCCCCTCCACTTCATCAGTCTCCTACCTTCACCGTTGAAGGTTCCCTTGATTTAGAGCCAATGATACTCTTCCATTCAGCCCTCTGTTCATTGCTGATATGACATACATAGCCATGACTTTAGAGATCATTTATATTTCAAAATGAAAGGCTGGGTCTAAATTATTTAATTTGGGTGTCCACATAGATCCAATTAAACAGGTAACTGCTAGATGGCTCTCAGGCTTTAGCCTTAGTTCTATGACAGATATGTGTTTGAGTCTGGGTGCTGGGCCTTATTAACTGAGTTTCTTAACTACTCTGAGTCTCAGTTTCCCCATCAGCTAAAAAAAGGTCTATAATAAAGCCTGTGCCATTAAGGTTCAATGAGAAATCAAGGAAGATTGTCCATGGCAACACTTCGCATGGCACCTAGCATATAATTAGGGCTCCACAAATGTTAGCAGCCATTATTATTATTGTGATTGTTATTGCTATTCTGTTTTCTTCTGCCCTGAAGTATATACGTAGACACCTGTCCTTCATCTCATCTGGGGACATCACCGCCTGTTCTTGGAGACATTTGACATTTGTTCTGACCCAGTCCTGGCTCCCAGGCAGGCTTGGGTGTGAACTGAGGCCAGAGATGTCCTGGGGCAGGCAAACGAAAGGCTATGTATGGATTCCAACTTGTCTGTCCAGGACTGAAGTGGGCTCTGTGCTGGGGAAAAAGGTTGTTCGGTCCTTGAAGAAGCCATTAACGGCTTCATGGCTACGGCTTTGGCTATCATTCTGAAATCTTGGCCACTTTGAACAAAAGCAGACTCCCACCCCCAGAAGAAAGAAGACCCCACTGTTAGCATGGCAGAATATACTCGCAAATCTTTTCCACCCCTCCTGCATCTCTGCATCCGCCCCATCAATTATATGCTCCTGAGGAAAGGGACCTGCCATTTTCGTATCTCCAGCACCAAGCTGAGTGGCTGGCATACAGGAGGTGCCTGAAAACTAGGAGACGGATTAAGTAACTGAATGAATGATACAGAGTAAATGATCAGCAATTTTTACTAGCTATTATTGTGACATTATCCTCAGTGATTAGCATTTTGCTGTGATTTCTTGAATGAGAGAGTAAGGGGGTAACGAACTAGAATTACAGCTGGCTCATAAGCAACTGCATGGAAGGGTTTTCTGCAGAAAAACTGCATCTAGGAAGTGTATTAAGACACACATGTGCACACAAACACATAAACTGCACACATACACACACATACACGCTGCAGGTATATGGGAACCCTCTGTACTTTCCACACCCACAACCTCCCCCGCCATTCAACAGCCCACACCAGAGTGATACATTTGTTACAGTCTGTGAACCTCCGCTGACATCATTATCCCCCAGAGTCCAGAGTTTATATTAGGGTTCACTCTTGTGAACTCAGTGGGTTTTGACAAATGTAAAATATGTTTCCACCACTGCAACGTCACACAGAATCTGTGTTCCACCTGTTCATCCCTCTCTACCTGTAACCGCACCCCCCCCACTAATCTGTTTACTATTTTCATAGTTTTGCCTTTTCCAGAATGTCAGCTAGTTGGAATCATACAGTTCGTAGCCTTTTTAGATTGGCTTCTTTCACTCAGTGTTACACGTTTCAGGTTCCTCCCTGTCTTTTCATGCCTTGATAGCTCATTTCTTTTTAGTGCTGAATAATATTCCACTGCCTGGATGGACCACAGTTTGTGTATCTCTTCACCTACTGAAAGATGTCTCAGTTGATTGCAAGTTTGGGCCATTATGAATAAAGCTGCTACAGACAGCCGAGACCAGGAGTTTCTGTTGCCGCAAATTTTCAATGCACTTGAACGTTTTTAAATGACAGTTGACTTTCAATGGGTTTAATGTTAGACTTTCTCCTGAGATTAATGGTAAAACTGACATTTGCTTTTGCCTGCCCAGCCTCTGTCCCTCTTTAAAAAAATTTTTTAGGGGCGCCTGGGTGGCTTAGTCGGTTAAGCGTCTGACTTTCGCTTAGGTCATGATCTTGCGGTTCGTGGGTTTGAGCTCCACATCGGGCTCTGTGCTGACTGCCAGCTCAGAGCCTGGAGCCTGTTTCAGTCTGTGACTCCCTCTCTCTCTGACCCTCCCCTGCTCACGCTGTCTCTCTCTCTCTCTCTCCTAGAAATAAATTTAAAAAAAAATTTTTTTTAGGTTTTTAAAAAATATATATTTTTTTTTTCGAGAGAGAGTGCAAGAGAGTGAGCTGGGGAGGCGCAGAGAGAAGGAACAGAGGATTGGAAGCAGGCTCCATGCTGTCATTGCAGAGGCTTATGCAGGGCTCAAACTCATGAACCATAAGATCATGACCTGAGCTAAACTGAGCCAAAGTTGGAGGTTTAACTGAATGAGCCACCCAGATGTACTTGCCTCTGTCCCTCCTGTTATCAGGACCCGGACTTTTCCTTCAGAGAACCAGACCTCCCCCTGTGGTAGGGTCCCCTCCCTAAGGAAAATAAAAACAAAAAACCCTCAAGGCAACCTGGCTATACGCGTATATGACAACATCCCTCACCACCTTGTAACATGAGGCCACTGAATCAGACTGCGTGTTTATGTGTTACCATATATGGGAGACAAAGAAGTAGAAAATATATTTTAAAGACTACGCCATGTGGCATTTAGGACTCAGTTCTTTGGGTACAAACCCAACTGAGCGGTGCCAGCAGGAATAAAGTTGCTTCCTGGAAAGAAAAGCCTTGGTGTCACGATTCTCTGTGTGGGAATCCTGCTACACCCCAAGTTTCATGTATGTGGGGAGACCACTCATTAGCCCTGATGGTAGCGTGTGACAAATTCATGCCAAAAGCACAGCATCTCCTGGGCCGGAGTGATTGGTCCAAGGGTGGGCAAATGACCCAAGATGGGCCAAGCAGAAACAATGAGAATCTGCCCTGGTATTTTGCTGACATTTTTGGGAAAGGCAGTTCTGCTTCCATTGGCTTGCTAAACTGATAGAATGGTTGGCATATGTGCCCATCCTTGGGAGGGTCTGCTTGAGAATGAAGCCAATAGAGAGGGAAGCAGAGCTCAGAGATGTAATGGGAAAGACAGATTCTCAATGACATACTTTCCAGCCCCTGGATCAGCTGTACCTGAAGCTGATATTCTTGGATGTTTATATTTTTAATTATGCCCGTTTGAGTTTTCTCTCTTTTGCAAATCAAAGACTCCTGGGTTAGAAGTGGGGAGTGGGTCGGTAGAGGGCTAAGGTAAGAGACTGGAGCTAAGGCAGGACGCCCCCCCCCCCCCGCTCCCTGCCCCCCCCCCAACCACAGCCTAGGTGCACTAACCTTGACTCTCTGCCCCTGCTGGTGGGGGAGAGATTCTCCAAAGTGGCCCCCTTGTTCTGGGGTGAGGAGGTGGTGAAGGAGTTCCCTGAATCAGAGGTGTTGCCACAGTTGAGTTCTCGGCTCTTGTTCAGGCCCCCACTGGGGCTCCCCTTCTCTTGACCCCGTGACCTGGCTGAGCTGATTTGCGTGGAGGGTGGCGAGGAGGTGTCATTGCCTGAGTCATACTCCTGGGAGCGTCCTCGGGAGGTGGTGAGCGGGCTGGCTGTTTTGGTAAAGAGGTCAGCTGCAGACCCCGACCCAGTGATCTGAAAGCAAAAACACCCGTTGGACACTGCTGATTGCTGGGCCTGTGCTCTGTGTCTAAATAACCAAGAAATGTTTACCGTCATGATGCACTGTAACGAAAGGAAAGAGAGAGAGAAGAGGAAAGAAGAGACGCCAAAAAACAAAAGCACAAATTCCTGAAAGAATACCACAGAAAGGAGATATTTTTTTTTACCCCCTGCTAGAATAACTGGAAGATTTAGGTATCATGCAGAGAAAAGCATGCGGTCCAGATTAAACAAAAGATAAAGGAAATTATACAAAATTTAATTTCTAATGAATTAACTCAAACAAAACACAACTCAATCGAAAAGGGGGGGGTGTATAAACACCCTTAACCTAAAACAATAATAAAAATAAAGGAAGGGGGGAGGGGCAAAGAAATGGGGCAATGGACATGGGAAACATATATCTTGGAACTTAAAAAAAAAAAAAGATAAAGCCAAAATTTTAAACTTCAACCAAATCCTCAACGAATTTGACCTTTTTTTTTTTTTTTTTAAAGAAAAAAGTTCCCTGAATAGAACCCTAAACAAATATTGCATGGGGAAAAGAAATGAAATAAAGAGAGTTTTTTTTTTTTTTTTTAAATATAAAGTCAAGGTCACAAAATGACATTTTAGTAGTTTTCAACTAAAGGGGAAAAGAAAGGGGGACAAAAAAAATGGAAGTCAAATAGTCTGACTGAAAACAAATGAAAAAAAAGCTCTCTACGATTATTTGTGTGTGTCCTTTTCCCCCTGGAGAAGGTAGCTAAGGCTCTCGAGTGGCTTCTAATAAATTCTCTCATGTCTTTGCGGATTATATCCACTTACCAAGCAAGAGTTCCTCCTTTAGTAGGTAGGTAAGGTGTAAGAGAAAGGGAAGAGCGGGCAACGTGAGTCCATCGTTAGAGTCGAAAATGACAAGAAAAAACACACACCTTTCTGCACACCCTCACACTTGGCCCTCAGCTTTGAGTTTTGGTTTCTCAGTGTTCCTAACAGGTGAGGCATCAGATCTGTTTGGTTTTTCTCAGCAAGGGGACCTCAAGGCCATCAACACTAACCTCAGCAGTCCCTTAGTGCCCAAGTTGGATCAAGAAACCCTTGCTGGAAATGCAGTAGGGGCCAGAGCTTGCCTCTGTCCGGGGATCAAGGTCGCGAGGGTGTGCTTGTGGCAGAGGGCTTTGGGAGGGGCTTGGACATTTGGATTTGGGGTGAATGGGGATGAGGAGGGTTTCCCAGAGTGCTGTTTGGGTCAGAATTGGGACAGATAAAGGAGGAAAGGAGGTTGGACCGGCCCTTGGGAAAGCAATGGTGTATGTGTTTAGAAGCACAGGGGACGGTTTCCTTAAAAGGTTTAGACCAGTGTCACAGCTGTGATTGACACAGTGGGTTTGGTCTGGCCCCTGCTGGCACTATTGCTTATTTGGCTGTGGGCGAGAGGAACGTTTGCCCTGTACCTCCTCCATAACTGTCCTCATGGGGCAGGAAATCAGGAGGGCACTACCTGAAAACCACTTCCCCGGAGACCACTTCATGGGTCCTGAGATCCCAGAACTCTGTTTAAATGGTCCCTGGGCCCCCTTCCAGGGTGTCTGCAGGCTCATCCATGGATCTATTCTCCGGGGGACATACCATGCTTTAGGTGTGCACACCCTTAGGTCCAAGGGTGACTATTTGGACAGAGCTTAGATGTTCAGGCTGAGGCACCCATGTGCATGTGTGGGAGGCCCATCACCGTGTTGGTTGGTGTAAGAGGTGGGAGGAGAAAGGGAGAGACCAGGGCATTGAGGCAGGTACACCGCCCCCACCCCCCACTGCCATGTCGCGGCCAGCCACTCTGAGGGGTCTGAGGTTCTAAATTCCAACCTGACTTTCCGGATCATTTTGAAGGTATGTTTGCCAAGACAGGAGAACATATTTTGTTTAGGTTTGCTGGCTTGACTTAATAAACATTTAGACATAGAGTATGTAGGCCTCCTTCTATACTCTTGTCCTGGGGCCCACAAATATCAGTGAGGCCTCACTGTCAAGAGCCTGCTTCCCCCCACCCCTCATTCCAGGCACCTTGGGCCTAAAAGGAGTGGGACTTTTGGGCTTTCTTAAAGGACCTTGTCTGCCTTCTTAGCAATTGGTCAGGAGGGTGAGACATAGAGACACCAGAACTGTGAGAATCACAGCAAACCCTGGCAGCTCAGGATGTCAGCATCTAGACTGCGGAGGCGGAACTTTCTTTGTGGCTTCTCCTAGGAGAAGAGGCTTTGCACACAGACAAGGTGATGGTCCAGCTTTACCAAGTTCTCCCCAGCCCCAGCACAGCCTCTGCTTTGTCTGGTGAGCTTTGCTTTGGGACAAGGGACCTCAAAATGTTGCTCAAGTGGAGTTTTGTTGAATGAGAGACTTCTTTAAGAAGAACGTAAAGGCCCTATTCTCATTCAGCTTCCCCCTTTTGTCTTCCCATTTGTAGTTATGGATGCTGTATCTTTCCCACCTCTGGGAGTTCAGTGGCAACATATGCATTTCTACCATCTCTGTCAGGAATGAGAAAACTTCATGGGATCTGATGGGCTCTCAGACTGGAGCCTGGTCCCAGGATGGATGCAGAGAATCAGGCAAGCCCTTTCTGGGGAGAATGAAGCTATACAATAACTCAGTGAAGGGGCCTGTGAGTATAATAGCTTCCATTATCTCTCCATTGTAACTGGCTTGTCCCCTGGGGCATCCAGGCTGGCCTTCCTCTCCCCAGGTACTTGTTCCCAGCCCTGACTACCACTTTCAAAGCATCTGCCCTGGTGCATCATGGGTCCCCAATGGGCAACTATTTCCTGAGTGTGAGGCCCCTCCAGGCTAGTGGATACAGAAGGGGACGTTGCCCTGTTTGCCTTCTCAACCCCATGCTCTGAGCTCACAGAGACACTTACAGCATGTCTCCACCCGACCATGACTATTATCCACATGTAACTTGTGCAATTAAAACTGAGAACTGTATAAGGCATCATGCTTTTCCATTCTCTCCAGAAAACAGAGATAAAGGTCCTCTGAAATGTTCTCATTGGGTTGACTCTGGTGCCTGAAAATACCAACATCTCTGGCTTGTTTAAATGTCCCATTTCTTGGGATAAATATAAATTCTTCGAAGTGGATGACAGTATCCTTTGCAACCCACCCCTGAGTACTTCACAGACCTCATCTCTTCCACATACCCCACTGTGGCCCCTACAACCTATGCCGATCGGTTAGAGTTTTCTTGGCTTTGCCACCACAATCTTGCTCACCCAGGCCCAAGCCATTTGCACATGCCATTTCCTCTGCCTAAAATACTCTTCCCCATTACTCCATTTCACGTGGCTAAATGTATACATCCTCAAGGTTACAAACCACATCCTCTAGAAAGCCTTCTAGAGGCCTTCCTCTAGAAAGCCTTCTCTAATCCCCCAGCTCAGGATAGCACAACAGTCCATAGTTCAGTCATTCATTTGATCTTTCATTCATTTACTCCTTCAAAAACAAGTGGCTTCTGTGTGCCACAGCACTGTTACTCAGTGGGGTAGCTTCTTGTTTTATTTCCTGTCTCTCCATCTGAATGGGGGTTTGCTGAAGGCAGAGGCCATGCATGGCTAGTTCAGCATTGTACCCAAGTAACTACCAGTTCCTGGCACAGTGTAGGTGCTCATTAAATCTGGCTGAATGAATAAAGCTGCTCCATAGTCCCTGGAAGGCCTGAGCTCAGAAGCCTGGGCTCTTCCTAGCCTCATGCAGTGGTGAGGATGGCCGAGTGACCAGGCCCTGCTGAGGCCCAATGGGGCAACTGGCAACTTTGGGAACTTGATGGCTTTTTAAAGGAGGGACTGGCCTCCATCATATTCAAAATAGTCTAAAAAAAACTAGGTTGATTCTTAGCTGAAGGTTGGTGTCTCAAGCCCTGTCTTAGCTCAGGGATGTCTGTGTGATTGAGAGATAACCTCTAGAACTGAGTTCTTGCTCCAGGACTGTGGCAGAGAGAAGGAATCACCCTCTGTTCTTCCTCTCCTTCTTGGCCCTCCCCAGACTCACCACCCTTCGAGAAAGCACATGGAGGCTCTGTCTCCACATTCTTAATGGCATTACGTTCCATGCTAAGGTAAGAAGCTCTGGATCTGAGAAGCCTTCCAGACCAAGTTATGCTTGGTGTCCTTACTTCCTTTCCACCTTCTACTACTCTGGGAGGTCAGCTTAAAAAATGGACTGGGCTGGCCATTTGCACACCAGGGGGCTGTTAGCCCATATAGTGACTCTGTTCAGATTACAAAAAGGTGCTCCTCCTGGGTCAGGAGTAAGAAATAGGCGCTTTCTCTGGCCAGACAGATTAGAAAAAAGATACACCTTTCTCTAGGCTGAAGCAGCCCATGTCAGTATTCACGGTTGCCTTGGTGAATGGAGGGCAGGTGGGGTTTGATTCCAAGATGAGTCACTCATGTACGGGGCTTAACCAGCTGTACCATGGCATCCCTAGTAGGCACTGAACATACAGATCTTCTGACTCTATTTGATCTGCTTAAAGGATTACTCTGTGGATGGGGGAAGAGTTGGGAGCCCAAAGACATTCATTCCTCTTTCCTTTGGCTTAACCCTATTTGGTTTTGTCTTTACAAGCCTTGATGGGGCCTGTCTCTATTTCCAGGTGAAAGGAACATTTTAAGAAACTCATTAGAGACGTTTGGATAGTCTAATGGCCTCTTAGTTTCAGACTCCACCTTTTCCAGAGCTTTCCATTCACCCTGCACAAAGAACAGGAAAGCTACTGAGGGGAGCCAAAGGTAGAATGTGTGTGTGTTGGGGGTGTGTGACAGCCATGATCATGCAAAGGAGACTTTCAAGTCATGGACATCATGATAGATAGACAACAGAGGCCTCTAAGTTCTTGTCTCCATCCTCTCATCTCTGAGTGGCTCCGTCCTAGACAAATACTCACTCATATAAGGTCCAAACAGTTGTCCACTCGATACTGACATGACAAG